GTGTGCCTGGGATATTTATCTCCCATTCTTTTACTTTTCGGGCATTTTACAGACCAAACATGTCGTTGATGTCACTATTTACCAAACGACCTCTTTTTCTGAAAAATGCATAAAATGATGCAATATATGTTAAATACATGGTTTATACATGTAATTAATGGGGTTCCATTTCTTCTGATTACCTAATTTGGGCGTGCACATTTGCAGCGCGAAACCTACCTCTTTTGGATTTGGAAAGGTTGGCATGTATGCTATTTTTTGCTATTTCTTTGAGTGAGAAAACTTTATTAACGCCGTGCCTGAGTACACATCTGGAGTCATGACACGTTAGCCTAGCTTAGCATAGTGAGTGGAAATGGTAATCAGCTAGCCTGGCCCTTTGCAAAGATCAAAAATCTGCCTAACAACAACTCAAACCCTGTTTAATCAACATGTTGTATCTTGTTTTGTTTAATCTCTGTCTTTTTGAAGAGTCAGCTCTTCAGTTTTAGCATCATTGTGCCAAAATCTCAATCTGTGCTTGCAAGTGGCAATTTGCAACCGTGCTATAGCTGGAAGCGCTACACAGGCACGTCCTGACAGCTCCGTACTTCACCCGTAGAGAGTGGTTGTCCATTCCTCACACGCATATCAGAATAATTTACAAAGCGTGAAACTACTACAACGATTGGTCTACATCAATTCTATATTATTAATACATATTTAGAGTCCTGTTTGTTAAATAAGGAGGTTTATGTTCTTGTTCCTATTTATCACATGGGTGGTTTTATTTAAAAGGAAAGGGAGCCTGGGGGTGTCAGTAAGAGAACACCTCCCCGCTGATGAGACAGATATCAGATTAGAGGGAGGCATGCAAGCAGAGGCGCGGGAAGGTATTTTGAGTGGGGGTGCTGAGGTGCTGGACTCCAGTGAACACTATTACGGGCACTATAAAGCACGCACAAAAAAACTCCCCACACGCAAACACACAGTAAACCCGCGACTGTTACAATGAAGGCTCGATATTCAGCTCACGGCATATAGGCAGGGGTAAAGTGCTATTTTTTTACGAGTGGGTAGCGGACCTCACCTCCTCTAGGGGGGTCCGGGGGGATGCTCCCCCGGAAAGATTTTTTTTAATATTGAAGTTAAAAGCATCAATCTGGTGCACTTTGAGAGCAACATTAAGAGATCTATGGATACATCTCTCAACACAGATGAAACAAAACTGTAAGCAGATGTTCATTTTCTTTATGGATATTTTACAAATCACTCCCCTTTCAAACTGTATTCTTGTTTTACTGCCATATAGTATTTCATAACTGTTTTTCCTTTATTCTCTTATTTTTTTTATAACTATAATGATCATATGAAGGTGTGCCGCGGAAATAATCTTTTGAATAATTTTTGACCAAACCGTTTGAGACCCACTGAGATAACTTAGACTAAAAGAGCTCTCCTCCAGCTTGTTGTGGAACAAACAGCTCCGTATGTCCGTTAGTGCAGCTAGCTAACCAGATGCTAACAACACTAGCTAGCTGCACTAACGGACATACGGAGCTGTTTGTTCCACAACAAGCTGGAGGAGAGCTCTTTTAGTCTAAGTTATCTCANTTACGTACTAATAGTAATAGTCTATACGAAGTAATTACGTACTACACACACACACACACACACACACACACACACACACACACACACACACACACACACACACACACACACACACCAAAAGGCCTGACAGCCATAGGACGAGGTAAGGGTGACAGAAAGGGAGTGTGTGACTAACCTTTGACGAGGAAGGGGCTTTCTTTGTTCTGATCAGCCCCAATCTGCATACTCTGTCTGAATACATTGAGAGTCATAGCTTTCTGAACTTATTTCTTAGCAGCAATTTGTTTTTTTTTAAATGGCCTAGGCAAATTTTTTTTGCCAAGATACTTTTAGACACACTTTGAGGTATGCAAAGCCTTAAAAACTAGAACACTGATGTTTGGCATACGCTGCAAACTTCATCGCCTTTTAACAAGAGAGTAAGTATATAAAACGTTATTTTGTATATTTTACACATCAGCAGAAACAGAGAGAGAGATGGAAGGAAGGGGTGAAGAAGTCTCCCCCAACTCTACAGACACAGGCCATATAAAAGAGGAAAGTGTGACATTAGGAAGGCAAAAGGTGTTTTCTTTGTTCTGATCAGACCGAATCCGCATACTCTGTCTGAAATACCTGGAGAGTTACTTTTGTTAGAGCTTTCAGAGCTTTCTGAACTTATTTCTTAGCAGCACTGGGCATTTTTGTGTTGTATTGTATACAGTGGAAAAGTGCACAGATAAACAGTCAAGCATGGGCGGTAAAAATGTGTCTCCTCAGGCTCTCTAATACACACACACAGTCATCTCTCAAACGAGGTGCCTGCCTGCTTTCCAGGACTTTTTACAGCCTCTGGCCGACTGCAGGGCCATGGGGTGTTAAGACAGGCACCTACATGGGCGCGGGAAGGGGGGTGCTGAGGGCGCTGCAGCACCCCCTAGTGGCAGGCAGGGGGTGCGGAGCTCCCCTGTCTGAATTATTATTTGACGGTTATTGCTGCTCCCGCTGTGCATAATCTGTGTAATATGTAGCCAATAAATTCCACATTGTTGGTAAAATAATATTTTGGCCTGCCCCGAATGTTTTTTCTGTAGCCCCGGACAATTCTACCTCAATAATATAATACATTAACCGTGCTTCATCT